ATAAATTTGTCTTTTACAAATAACATAGATGCAACTACCATCTTATTAAAAGATATACCCATTGTCATTAATAAAGAAAATGATGTAAGTAGGCAGGTGGATAAGCCTATTTATCCAGAAGAGATAGATATATACAGTTCTCTAATGCACAACCTGAGTACTGCTATTTCTTGCAGAACTGTGAAAGCCAGGTATACAGTAAGCACCCTTGTAAAAGTCACATCTAAGGCATCACTTCCAATATCTTTAGACTCCTATGACCCTTCAACCTGCTTTAACAAATTCCTCAAATATCACCAACTTACACTTCTTCCATCTCCTCAAACAATCAATTTCTTCCTTCTCCATCTCATCAAACATAGCCTTTGGAACAATTTACAGAACAAACTCATAATCTCTATCAAAGCTGACTATAGAAAGCCTATATCTATACCCTACAAGAACCCTGTCCCCTTCCTAACCATCTAATTGTACTCTACCAAAGTGCTATCTTCGCAAATTCCCACACCCTTCTAAAATCTTATACACAATATTCTTCCTTATTCACACCCCTGGACCCTATACTAATCTATCTAATATCTCTTACTCTTCACTAAACCTTTCTATATACACTCATAATATCCGAGGCTTTAACCAAAACCTCAAACAACAAATATGAAAATACTATTGTTTATCTAACAAATTAGATATTATCTGCCTTACTGAAACCAAACTAGCTAGCAACAACTTTACCTCAAAACGCCTTATAACTCTCATTATACTTACTTCTGGTTCTGTACAGAAAACTTCAAAGCTGGTACTGCAATTATGATATGTAACTTACTAACACCTCATATATACAACATAGCTACCTTCGCCGGCTATACTATCTTTATTGATTGTTCTTTAAACATGATTTCAAATTCTGTATCATTTCAACCTATCTTCCTTGCAATGATGCCTCTATCAGACTTCAAGCTCAAAATACTATTATCCAATGAATACAAGATGCTTATACTCTCAACTTGCTTCTTATCATACTTGGTGACTTTAATGCCTCAACCAAAAATATTCACTCTGCATCTATTAAATACAAACTTCTCCAATTTCTCTCTTACAACAATATGTACAATCTTGCCTCACATACTTCTTCTTCTTCCTCTACCTGGCAAAATGCCAGATCTTGTAGTGAAATCAACTTCATCTGGGTCTACCACACTATTCTAATTTATCTTACTTCTTTTAATATCAAGGATACAAATAACAGCTCTCTTAGTGATCATAAAATCCTCATTGCCTGTTGGTCCTTTCCCATGCTCTACATGGCCGACATAGACACAAAACTCACACATGTAGAAGAGTCTTCAACTACAAGATAATGAGCAACTCTAAATGTAATGACTTCACTAACCAAATAAAAGCCAACCTTCTTTCCTATTATACTCCCTTCTCAACAGATACTACAGAATCTCTAGAGACTACCTGGTACAAAATTCACACTAGTACTATTACAGCAGCTTTATAACACATTTCTAACAAAAAATTTACAGTCCAAAATTTTTAATACATATTCTCTTCCAAAGCTGTCTACTTACACTCTAATCTTAAAAAACTTAGCAACATTATTAAACAAACAAAACATGCACTTAAGCATTTGCTTTCTATTCTTCTTCACTTTAATCCTTCTATTATATTACTTAACAATTCAGCCAACTTGAATATTCCTCCTCTACTATCCTTATATTAACTTCTTACTACCTGGATCACTAATGCTAATTTAGAGTAAATAAAACTTTTTCACACCCAAAATATAGAAAATATTAAAGAAATTAGACAACAAATATCAAAGTCTATTGACAAAAGATGCTCTAAACTTCAGACTCACCCTACTTCAATGATTAATAGCATTCTTAATCAACATAAAGACTGTCAAATTTAACAACATACATCTCAACAATAATATTATTACTGACTATCCCACTATCAAAGCACATATTCAACAGCACTTTGACAATTGTACTGCTCCTTGTCATATCAACTCTAACTTAGTGTTAGTAGTCAGTCTCAAAATATTAGCTAACTAAGTCAATAATAAAAATTTCAGCTTAGCCGGCTTAGCCAACTATTCAGTGATCATATCGATATTATATAAAAAATAAAAAGTTTATATTTAAAAATGCTTTATTGATGGTATATATTACTTATTTTTAATAGGCTATCTGGATTCTATATACAAAGCTAGCTTGATATCAAATCCAGAATCAGAACACAAATACTAATACATATTTTAATTAATGTTAATAAAAAAAAAAAAAATCATATCTATTGTTCTAAAAAAAAAAAAGCCTAATACCTAAACTTATAAGTATTTCAAAATTTAAAGTTTTTTTTATAATTTAGTATAAACATTTATTATTAATGAGTTTTCCTTTAAAAATAGTAAATCGTGAACCATATTAGTACTTAAACAATTGTGTTTATCAGTTAAAACATTTCCTACATTAGAAAAAGTCTTTTTGCAGGAACTGAGATTGCCGGTATTCTAAAAAAAATTTGTGCCTGTTTTGCAAGAAGTGGTAAGATATTTCAGTACTCTTTCTACCAAACTAAAAGATTATTATTTTTATAAAGAGGATTTGTAAGTTCATATTTGGGTATTTGTAAAATAGACAAATATATTTGCAACTCGATATCAAGAGATGAAGGAGTTGATTCTGCTTCTTCTTCAAAAAATAAGAACATATCAGATGCCTTTATTGGATTATCTGTAACTAAATCTTGTGATTCTTGTAGAGAGAGGTTGATTCTTTTTCATAATTCATTAATCACACAATCATGTTTGTTAGGTAGTGCAGTTGATAATGATTTAAAACGAGGATCTAACAACATAGCAAGCCACCCAACTATGTTAGGATCTTCCCAATAGCTTTGCATAGAGTCACGAATAGAGGTAAATTTAGCAATAACAAAAGGGTTAGTAAGTTGATCTTCAATTTGATCTAAATGTCTAAATAGACATTGTATTGTTAGATATATCATTCCTAGTATTGGGTATTGGCTATCACCCATGTAAACAGATACACGTGCAAAAGGTTAAAGTAATTTACATAATTCATCTAGTTCTTGCCAATCATTATCTGTGATAATTTTTTCTTTTAAAGAATTTCCACATTACAGATTGTCCTTTGTCAAATTACTAGCTAATGCTACGATTGCTTCATGAAGATCTACAAGTCTTTTAAGAAGAACATAGGTAGAATTCTAGTGGGTAGCAGTATCACTTGAAATAGGCTCCAATATTGTAGTAGATTGATTTGTTGGATTTAAATTTATAATTTTTATTTATTTATTTTAGTCTAAATTTTACGGAAACGTGATTGATACTTGTCACAGTTAACCAAAAAATTATTTATTATTTTTGCCTTTTCAATTAGAATAACACTTTCCTTCAAGCCATCTGAAATTGCAAGGTGAATTGAATATGCCACACACCTCAAATGAATAGTTTCTAGTTGCCTAATTGCTTTTACCATTGATGTTGCATTATTAGTTATTACTTCAACTAATTTATTGAGTATATTTTATTTAGTAAGAACTTTATACAAAAAATCTTCAATGCGGTCTCCAGGTGTGAGGATATTCAAAATACTCGATTGTAAGTAAAGCTTGATATATTGTAAAATCTTCTGTAAGCCAATAGGCAGTTACACCAATATAGATGTATGATTTTGAGTTCAAAGGTCAGTTGTAATATAAATGAATATTAGTGTTTGATCTATTAGTTGTTTTAAATTTAATTGTGTATATAGTACTGATTCTGCAATTTTATTTTTAATTGTATTTGTGTATAGAATTTTAAATCGTGGATTAATTTCTTGACAAAAATCTTTGAAACAGTTATTATTAACAGAATCTAAAGGCATCATTGCCTCAACAAACCAAGCCACCAAATAGTAAGTAATGTGATTTTGTTGGCTATTAGGAAGAGGTCAAGTGCATTTAGTATATTTTTCAAATAATGAAGCAATTGTTTGAGATTTTGTAGTGCTAGTTAAAAAAGTTACAGACATATTTAAATTTTGATTTTTAAAAATTCTATGTATTGTGCGTAAATGTGCAGCGATATTGGTAACTGAAGTACTGGGTTCGAATGTAGTTGTTTATTTTTTTATAGTACCATTTTCAATATCTTCTTCAACTAAGCAGTGTTTGTGTTTAGTAACTTTGTCATATCCTGTGTAATCTTATATCCAGCTTCTAACACTAGGTTTTTTCTTTGTCCTATAGATAGGTATAGGATTTTTTCTTTTTTTTGATAAATCAGATGCTGAATTATTATTATTAAGTATTTTAGAGTTTTCAAAATCTCAATTTTTGGAATCTCTAGGGTTTACAGTGTCAACAGAATTATTGAAGTCTTCAAGATTTTTAAAATCTTCAGAGTCTTTAATGCCTTCAGAATTTTCAGGATCCTCGAATTCTTCAAGGTTTTCAAAGCTTTTATAGCTGTCAAATCTTTTCAGATTTTCATAGTCTTCAAGGTTGGAATTTAGATTATTTGCTGAAAAATTATCTTGTTCCATTATTGATAAATTTATTATTTATTGAAAATATATTTATTAGACAATGAATTTATCCTCAATTTATATAAAAATTTTATGAAGCTTTGTATATTACAATAGTATACTATATGTTTTGTTTGATTCATAAACTAATTTTAAAGTTTTATTTTTTATACTTGTAGCATGATCTTATTAAAAGAGATGTTTATTGTACTAATAACTATTGTTTCAGTTCTATTTAAAAAAACACAGCAATATAAATGGGCAAAGGCATTGTAGTAAGCATTTTAGCTATTACTTGTTTCATTACACACTTTTCATTAATTTTATTTGGAACAGTATCTACTATATATGACTTTGTACTTCTTGATCTAATCTTGATTACAATTAAACTTTGATTTGTAATTTAGTAATTTAAGAATTTTTTCTCAAAGCCCTATAATAGTAAATGCTAACCATCTCTGATTTTAACTAATTCCTATTTAGTCTAGTTCTAGTTTTAATTGTAAATATGAACAGGTATAATTATGTGTTTATTATTATATTTTGTTTTCGTTTCATGTTTATATATTAGGGGTTCAATATTAAAATTATAAAATTATATTTATTTTTTTGATTCATAATTCAACATTCCTTCTAATATTGAAATACGTTCTTATTTATTAATTTTAAAACCTCTATTTAATAAATTCGATAATTTTTAGAAATAATTAAATGAAACTTTTTGAATAAATATACTTAAGGCTGAGCTTCTGTGTACATTTTGAGAGAATTTACATAATTCTATACAATATACATAATTTTTTTTTTTTTTTTTTTTTTTAAGGTGACCTCTTTGGCAATAACTTTTTATTAGAAGTTAAGTTTCAGTTACAATGAGGGTACAACTAGCCACACATACAACTTTTAGTTATCTAATTTAAGTAGTCCGCCCAGAGTTCTACACTAGCTGCCATACCTGTAACCTAACTAGGAGATTGCCTATTCAAACCCTCTGGTTATTAACGAGGGTATGACTAGCCACTTGTACTACTTTTGATTGTCTAATTTAAGTAGTCCACTCTAGGTTCCACACTAGCTATCATACCTGCAACTCAACTAGGAAGTTATCTATTTAAACCCTCTAGTCTAACCTAATTCCACCAAGTGGGGTCTTCTAACTCAGTTGCCTGAATTTTGTTTATGCCTTAGGACTTACCAACTCTAGGTTAGTCTATCCTCGAGGTAAACCT